GAGTCTGCAATTTTAGGCGTTTTAACTGATACCAATCATGGTAAAATCAGTCCGCTTCTGTTGACACCAGTGCAGCTTAATAATGAAATAACTACGATTCGAGAGCATCTCAATCCAACCACGCGTCTGCCAGGGAATACGAGCAACATAGCTGAACTCTATTCATTAATGACCGTTACCAGCGGTCTAGTCGACACCAAAGTTCTGTTTCGGATAACACTGCCAATAGTCAGTGATCAAATATTTGATTTGTTCTCTGTAATTCCAATACCGGGGGTTAAAGACAGCATCTATCAGCAAATAACACCATGTACTACTCTAATAGCATTCACCGCTCACAGGAATGAATATTTCACCATGTCAGACTTAGAGTTAAGTCAATGTAGAACGTTACAAGACGATCAGTATTTGTGTAGTAATACCCAAGAAGTATACTCTCCAGGTTCCGGCAAATGTGAGTGTGAACTTGATCTATTTAATAACTATACGGCATCCTGTTCCTGACAACGTTTTAATATGAATGCATTATGGTTCCAACCGATAGCACGAAATCATTGGGTGTTCGCGACGAGAGAACCTGTGAGACTAAACGTAGTATGTATCAAAGAGCAGTCACAAATAACATTGCAAGACACTGGATTAATGGAATTACCTCCAGGGTGTGTACTTAAACATACCACAACATCACTATATAGTCATTATACGTTGACTACTCGTTTAAAGTACTCTCATACGAGTTTCCATTCAGGTCCAATGAATACAACAACAGATCAACAACAACATCAGTCACCAAATTGGCAGAACACCAGTGTTCCCATGCATGATGATGACATCAATCAGCTGAAAGCGGCTTTAAAGACATTTCAACAACAAGAAGAACTTCCTGCAAATGAAAGAGCACATCATCAACATCATTTTGTTATCGAGTACTTAGCACTTGGACTAAGTATATTAATACTATGCATTATCATAGTTCGATATACGTATAAACGAAGAAAGCGGAACAACAATCCAGTACCTCAACCCCGAACTCGACAACAACAATCAAAATTCGAAATAGACGTAGAAGCAC